GGGGTCCTCAATCAATTTTTCTATGACGGTCTCCACCAAACCCTCCAATACATGGTTGATCATGCGGCCGGTGGAGACATAGGGAGCCATACGGAGGAGGAAATCTATAATTTGTACGAGATGGTGAGCGAGAATTCGCAAAGGAAGAGCGTTCGTAAGAGGACCCCCGTTAATAAAGCTACTTAAACTACCGGGTCCTCGAACGATGCCGTTCTTGCCAAGCTAGCCTCGTTGGAGGAGGAATTAAAGCAACTTCGACTAAGGGATGCAAAAGCGACCCAAGTTGTGATGGCCGAGGTGTGCGGTTGTTGTGGAGAGGCCGGCCATGGAGGCCACGAATGTCTGAATTATATGGTGCCGGCCTACGATCCAAATCTTGAAGGAGTCCCCTACGACATCAACGCTATCCAAGGGTACGCCCCCCGGGTCCAAAACGATCCTTACTCGAACACATACAATTCCGAGTGGCGAAATCACCCTAACTTCTCATGGAGGGACCCGAAAGCCACTTACCCACCTCAACCGGCACCACAACAAGCTTACTCCCAACCTCAACAATATGCTCAACCGAACAACCGACCACCGTTCCAACCACGACCCAAATTCCAAGGCTATCAACCGAGGCCCGAGATCCAAGGATATCCACAAGGGCGGGGAGGCTTCATCCCGAGGCAACCTTTGCCGTCTCTACCCGAGCCCGAGAAGAATGCTAACGGGGAATCCTCAGAGACTCGGATCGAAAGCTTGGAGAAGTGCCTTCAATCATTGGCCTCCACCGTTTCCACATTGCACGACACCATCAAGGGAGTGCCATCGATTCAAACCTCCCCTGCCAAACTCCTCTTTTCTGGTAATCAATATCGGGGTGAATTCCTCGCCTTTTCTTTTGACTTGCCACTCTTAAATGCCTCGAGATGCAAGTGGGGCAACTCGGGAGTTCCATAGGGGATATCCAAAGGAGCAAAATGAAAGATAAGCTCCCAAGCCAACCCGAGCACTTGAATGCTATTACGGTGTTGAGAAGTGGTAAGAAGGTCGATAATCGTGTTGAGGTACCCGTGGAAAATGAGGTTGTTGTTGAAGTTGTTGATGACGATGATGATGAGCCGGGTGATAAGATTGAGGATTCGAAAGGGAAAGCCGTTATTGATGAGAAGATTGAGAAGGAGAGTTGGAAGAAAGATGCCCGTGAGGCTTTGCACAAAGCGGATGAGCCTTACCGACCACCGGTTCCATTCCCGAGCCGCTTGAAGGATACAAAGAAGGAGCGTCAATTTCAAGATCTTTTTGACATGCTCTCAAAGGTAAACGTGAACCTCCCACTCCTAGACGTTATCAAAAACGTGTCGGCATATGTTCAATTTTTCAAGAACTTAGCTTCGAAAAAGCGGAGGTTCGTGGACAATGAGAAGGTGATGATTTCCGAGGTAGCCTCGACTACCATACCTCGGAAAGAATGTGATCCGGGAGCCTTTGTCATGAAGATTACATTCGGGAATGGGAAGATTACTACCGGGATGCTAGACTTGGGAGCCGGTATAAACCTCATGCCCTACTCGATTTTCAAACAACTAGGTTTGCAAGGGCTTAAGCCGACTCGGATGAGCCTCCAATTGGCGGACCGCACCTTGCGGGAGCCAAAAGGTATAATCGAAGATGTGTTGGTCAAGGTTGGCTCGATTGTTGTACCGGTTGATTTCGTAGTCCTCGACGTTGGAGATGTCCCGAACACTGGGAAGGAGCACACGATTTTGCTTGGTCGACCCTTCATGGCGACGACCAACACCATTATCGACGTCAAGGAGGGACGAGTCACTCTCTCGGCTCATGGGGAGATGGCTACCTTCACGATGAACAACGCCCGGGAAGCTCTACCCAAAGTTGGCCAATGCTCATTTATGGAGGATATCGACAAGGAGGTACATCTCAACTCTAATCTTAAATTATCTAATAATGGAAATGGTTTTGTAGGTAAAAAGGATGTGTGGGAGTCAGGAACGAATGTTAATGATGGTTTTGAGGATAAACTTGGAGTTCGAGTGAAAGGTGATAAGTTGAGAAATGGTGATGGAGCTAGTAATGATATGAAATCGGGCAAGAAAGGGGCGAAAAAGA